ATTTTTCACTTTTATATATATTATTAATAATTTAAATGAATAAAATAAAATATTTAAAAATTAAAAATATTAAAAATATCAATTTTAAATTTTAAAAATTAAAAATAAATTTATTTAAATTTAAGAAATTAAAAATATATTTAAGTCTACAATTAATATTACGATGGATATTTCTTCATATTTTCACATTTTAGACCAATTTTTTTTTAACTACTGTATTCTTAAGATGAGATCGATCTTAATAAATACTTTATAAATTTAAAATTAAAAATCAAAATTTTGATCACATATTTACGGATCATATTATTATCTGTGGGTTATATTATCCGATCTTCAAAACACTTAGTTCGTCCTAAGCGATGACCTTAATTTTACTTTGTATGTATAGCTTTTAAATGTAAGATCCTAGCATGGCTTTGAAAATTGCAACAGAACAAAACAAGGTAGATGAGGACAAATATCCAACAAACGCCATTGAAGGTTTCTCAACCGTGCAAAGAATGTCTTAAGGGTTAAAAATAAATTGGGGCGTCTGCTGCACCAAATTCTCCTTCACGTCTCCAACTGTACCACCCTCCGAGTCAAACGAGTCACATCCTTTCTGTCCTTTTCAGGCATTGAGCTATCTGTATTCTGTAATTGTCCTCACTTTTAACCTCCAGGCTTTCACTCATACTTTATTTATCCATATTGCTATAACTATTTTCAACAACTTGCGTAGATTTTTTTGTTTACCTGTTTAGATATTGTGAACTTGTGTATCATGTGCCCTATATTTTACGCGCTAACTTTACCTAGACACATGCATATGTGGTTGGTGTGTGTTTATGATTAAATCGCGAAACTAAACCATTCAAATTCGCTCAATAAATTTATATCATTTTTTTTAATATTTGAATAAGACTCAATTTAATTTGATCAAAATTTAATATTGTACAAATTTAATATTTTTTAATTTGTGATTCAACTCCACTTAATCATATTATAATAATAATAATAATAATAATAATAATAATAATAATAATAATATTATTATTATTATTATTATAAGTTAGTATAATAACTTGTTCAAACAATATTCTCTATTACTCTTATTTAATAATGTGTATTGTGTTTTTGCTTGATAATATTATTATAACAATACAACATGTTTATTTTAAATTTTATTTTGTATTAATATCGGTTGTTTAAGTCAATAATAATATAACAAATCAATAAATTTATTTTAAAATTTAGTTTATATCATTATTTGTTTTATTGATTGATAACATTACATTTATAATAAAATATCAAATAATTTATATATATTATGAAATATTTAAATTTTTATAATAAATAAATAAATTTAATTATGTTGATTCGATTGATCTAAATTAATCAAACTCGTTCATGATCGAGTTGGACTATATATATTGAATTTTTTAAAAAATAAATACACAAATTTGATCTAACCTAAACTATTAAATTTTGATCGAATAGGATAACAAATGTATCTAAATACAGTCCAATCCAACTCATTTACGCCTTTATTTGTACGTGTCTCTAGAATGGTGAAGATTACATTATAAGTGTATTAATATTATAACAAAACATATATTAAACTAATTAAGAAATATTGATCTTATATATTTCATTCTATTTTATTTTTATAAAATGGAATAATTTGTTTTCTTGAATTAGTTCAATTAGTTAAAATACAAGGCATGCATTTTGTAAGACAGTTCACTCCTTTTTCGTTGTCTTAATTTCTTTCTGTTCCTTCTTCTTGTAATATCTACTATAAGTTTCCTTTTGAACAAAAACAGAATATTTAATTTGATTTTTCCACATATCACAAGAAGAATAAATATTTGAATTTCAATATATATTAAATAAGAGTTAGGTATAATTTCAATATATATTTGGAAACGTAATAATTTAAAAAGTTTTTTCTTCGATATATACCACACCATCATGAGTTGCCTATTAAAAAAAATCATGATTGTTTAATTAATTATTATGCATGCGTATAGATACAATTATGTAAAAATATACAATCACATAATTAATTCGTTATCAACCTATTTGGATCATTGACCAGATATTTTGGTAACTTACGTAAAATCATAATTTTAAATCTAGTTACAAATACTATTACACAAATAAATGAATAAATAAATAAATAAATATATATATATATATATGTGTGTGTGTGATGTTATAAAAGTCTACGGTATATAATAGAGTAAATGACTATTTTGATATCTAAAAGTGATAAATCACATTAGTTTATAAAATTAATACTAATTAAGAAAATGTTAAATAAATTTTAAACTTTAATTATACAACTTTTTTTTTAAAAAAATTGAACTGATGCGATTCAATTTACACTTTCAAATATTTGTTTGATATTATTTTAGTCACATATGTGCAAGAAAACAATAAATAAATATTAACATAACAACTAATTTGAATTGGATGGAATATTGTAAACTAGTTATATTTTACTAACGAGAATTTATAATCTAATAATAAATTAACGAAGTCCAATGCTAAGTTAATTAAATGGTACTCTAAGCAACAATTAGGGATGACAAAAATACTCGCACCCGCGAGTATCTGCGGATAAAATCCGCTATGGATAGACTAATTAGGTACCCGTGGATAATGATGACGAATAATTTTTTACCCGTTTATAAATGGAGCGGGGCGGGTATGATGATATCCATGACCGCGGGTACCCGTTTAATATTATTTCTTAAATATTCTAATTATCCTTGTACCACATAATCCTAAAATTATACTCTCTCATCTTATTTTCTTATAAAAGTGAGTGTTATGAAGTTACCTGCAGGTTTTAAGCATGTTATAGAATTATGTTGAATGTAATTTGATTAATTTTCTAGCTTTAATTAGACCAATAAAATTTACATATTTTAAGTTATTTACTTTCGTTTGAAATTATGAGATTGAACTATTGTAGTTTTGTGATGAGACTTTAACTTACTTGTAAGATTGATGTATTTTAAGTTATTGATTATCTTGCATTTTTATTATTATTTCAACAAAATTAACGTTAAATATAAGTTCAAAATTAACATTGAATTTTTATTTTTAATATTTCAATGATATTAAAATATAAACTTAAAATTATTTGTAATATAATTTTTTTAATTTCTTAAAAATTTTATAAATATCCATGAATATCCATGGGTATTCAAAAAATTCATGAATACCCGCTTAATGGATACCCGCGCGGATATGAGGTGAGTATGAGACTAATTTTCATTCAATGGAACAGGAGCGGGGGCGGGGGCAGGTTTACTATTACCCGCTCCATGGGGCCTCATTGCCATCCCTAGCAACAATGGACCAACATATTGCATTGTGTGGAGGTAGTTGCCCCACAAGGATTTTATTATTGTTGTTTTCTTAGTATGATATGCAATATTTGTGTATCCGCCCTGATTATGTAGGGCTGTGCATGATTTTTTCTTTTTCAAAGACAATGGAACTTAATGGATTAGGATGGTATTTCAATCTAAACTATTTTGGATTGTACCTGCTAAATTTCTAATCAATATAATGATTTTTAAACACCGTGTCTATCGTTTTTTCATCGACCAATATTAATTTCCCATTTATAACATTTGAGCAAACCAAATAGGATGAATATTTTTAGAATTGAATATTGCATTGGAGTATCCCGCTCATAGAAAATTGCAAGGATATATAGTGAATCAGTGATCGGAAGTTTTGAGTAATAAATAATTATTAATTCTGAAAAATATCGTGTTGGAGTACTTAATAATATATTTATAAAAATTGATAGAGGAGGGATAAAGATTCAACTAATTATGTTGTTTTATTTAATTATTGTGAATCAAATTATAGAAACATCAATTATTTTTTAATGGAGGGAGTATTTTACTATTTTTCTGCGTGTATAGAACTTGTAGTAGTAGACATACAGTGCATAGTTGGATTTAGAATAATATATATAATTCGGAGATAGTTTTTCATGTTATTGTTGAGTGAGAATGATTCTTTAAGGGGGGCATGAAATCCAAGAAGAGAGGACGTGAGTCTTTCGATGCCATGCAAACCATGACGACAAAGGGAAGCAGCCTCCTCTTTGCGTGCATGGGAGGGGCTCCTCCGACAAGCACTCATTCGCCACGTGTTACGTAATCTAATTTGGAACTTACTCCTTTTAAGGATACTTTAGTGCCATATTAATTCAAACTAAAAAATGTTTAGTCCATAATTACCAAATTGTCCCCATTTCTCGGATGAGTATCCTATTTCATATTTCATTCATTTTCTAATTTACAGAGACAGGGAAGCCTACAGAAGGAAACATTTATTATTTCTCTGAATACCCTAACTGTTTAACAAGAAAAAAAAAAAGTCTTTTTACTCCACAGTAACTGAAGAAATTGAGTTTGATCTTGCAGTTCAAAATTAAACCCAATCATTAATTTGCAATATTGTGCATAAAAACTAAAAAGGTTGCGTGTATATAAGTGATAGTTGCAAGTAATATAATTTTACTATTAAATCGGACAATATATATATAATAGAGCTAATTGTTCATTTCATTATTAACTCAAAATACAAAAAAAAAAATACCATCATTTGGAATTTTGGATGGAGTGCTTAAACAAGTCTCGCCCAGCATTTTTAACATTGGAATTATAAACACTTCTCAATTTCGTCTCTGCTGTAATAGAAAAGAAAAAGTTATAGCATATATTATATTTATTATTATTTTTATATGTTTGACTAATTAATTAGTAAAATGGTACTGTCGTTTTTGAATTCATAGCTTGAAGGGCATACTTGTCTAGTCATGAGACATTAACGAGATGGAAGTGTCAAATCTTTTATTGTCCTAATAAAGATTGCGAATGTTATTTTAATACAGATAATTAATGACAAGAAGTAAGCAATAATAAGAACATGGTTATATAAATAGTGTGCTCCAGCCCCCAGTTTAATTTGGTGGTAACAAAGGAAAGGACAATAGCTTTTGATCAACCAGCACACAATATGGGAAGATCTCCATGCTGCGATGAGAATGGCCTTAAGAAAGGTCCCTGGACTCCCGAAGAAGATCAAAAGCTAGTCCAGCACATTCAGAAACATGGCCATGGAAGTTGGAGAGCTCTCCCTAAGCTAGCCGGTTTGTAAAACTCTACTTTAATTTATATTGTAGCAACTATATATATACACATAGTTCTCTCTTTTCAATGCTTCCTCATTCAGCTATTTTTCTTACAATTTTTGCAGGTCTTAATAGATGTGGAAAAAGTTGTAGGCTAAGGTGGACTAACTATTTAAGGCCTGATATCAAGAGGGGAAAATTTTCTCAAGAAGAGGAGCAAACAATTCTGCATCTCCATTCCATCCTTGGAAACAAGTACTTTCCTTGCCACAACTCCTTTTTCTACATTCAGTTTTCCTTGCAAATCTAACCAACTCAAGTCTTCATCATAATTTAAACTCTTGTATTGTAACTTGCTTATTTTATTTTTTGAAAGATGGATATGGAGGGAGAAAAGTTTCAATTGTGTTTGCTAATTAATAATTTTTACTTACTTTTATATGCACAAACTTGTTTACTAGATGGTCAGCAATTGCAACCCACCTTCCAGGCAGGACTGACAATGAGATAAAGAATTTCTGGAACACTCATTTAAAGAAAAAGTTGATTCAGATGGGTTTTGATCCAATGACTCACCAGCCTAGAACTGACCTTGTTTCAAGCCTTCCATATCTGTTAGCTTTGGCCAACATGACAGACCTAATGGATCATCAGTCATTGGATGAACATGCTGTGAGGTTACAAGCAGAGGCAGTCCAGCTGGCAAAGCTTCAATACCTCCACTATCTAATCCAGTCCTCAACAAACTCCTTAAGCACCAACTCCTATGACCAAAATGCCACCACCACAAACAACAACATGGAACCTTTGAGTTTGTTAAACTCAATCTCCAATGTGAAAGAGAATCCTGTCATGCTGCAACCAGATACTGATCCTGCCTCATTTTCTCAAGGCATTGCTAGCTCTCAACCACTCCACCACCCAAACGTGCTACCTCACCTTTTAGACCCACAAGTCTCTTTCAGCTCTCAATCATGTTTGAACAGTGAGATGGGTCAGGGTACTAACTTTGCAATGATAAGTCAAGGGGATCACACGGTTGATCTTGACTCTTCGTGGATTATTCCATCTATTCCTCCAAATGCGATAGGGAACAATCCAGGAGATGCCAGCAGCAGCACTTCTAGCTATGGAGGAGGGCACTCATCTTATTGGTCTGAACTATTTTTTGAGGACCCCATCATGCATGAGCTATCTTAGTATTTAATCCGAAAGAGGTTGAATTATTGTGTGCCACTGTTATGCTTTGTTCGCTTCTTGCCACTTAATTTTAGCCTTTATGCTCTAGTATAGGAACATATAGATATATGTGATATGTCCATTTACAAACGTATTTATATATGAATACATGTTTTGTACATAGCTTTGGGACAGTTTCATCGAACTAGTTTGATTGTCAGTATGACAGTATCGTTTTCAACAGTTATTATACATCTAAATTTTCTTTGTTCAAATAAAATTTGGCTTTTACGGTTTTTTTTTTTCAAGTGTTAGTTTAATTTATGTCCAAGTGCTTGGTTTGTGTATATATATATATATATATATATTGCTTCGAATAAAATTATTTAAGAGAAATAATGGGAAAACTAAAAGCATCCAAAAATGGTGTAGGAAGAGTATATATGAAAGCGAAGATCTAGACTATAAGCTTACTTGCAGAATTGAATGAATTTTCTTTATGATTTATCTATATACTCTACACTTTGAATAATTATATACGGCATGAGTAACCAAGCATGTTAATTTACCGAATTACAGCTTCTTGCAGTCCGCCATCATCAAGGATTAGAACACTCAACACTGTCATGTGTTGAAGGGTACACGTGGGAGAAAAATGAGAGGGAAATAAATTAATTTTCCGGAGAATTATTTTTCCATTAACTGAAGAATACAATTTAAAGAGCTACATATATACTGTTTACTTTCTTCTCAAGAATCTCAACCATTGCTAGTCCAGGCTCCAGATGTGGAGCAAAAGCTATTTTTTTTCTACTAAATTAAAAAAAAATGTTACGAATTGTTTCTTCGATTTAAGGGGCTTGATTCAAGAACGTACTCAAATCAGTACGCAAAGTCTGAGGGCTCAATCTCTTGTAAATCAGCAAAGAAGCGCATATATTGCGATCAGTCTACAATGCACAACATAAAAAGAGTTTGGCCTCAAATGCTTTTAGAGTAATAATGAAATATTCTTATCTAGAAGAGTTCAAATATGTTCCATTAAAAGATAATATATATATACAAGACATCTGATTAATTGGTTAATTAAACCTTTTTTTTTTCAATGTCTGTTCTTCTTGTGTAGGTTTTGATTTATCTGCCTTGCCTGAGTTAGAAGATGCTTAATAATTATGTACGATTGGTTATATAACCTTAATTAGCTTGCTAGAAAGGTATAGTAGGATTAAGCTTGCAGCAATACATCTTAATCTAATAATCTACAAATTAAAAGGGAGTTTTTGTAAAATTCTTTTCTTCTCCTTAATTATGTCACTTCATCTCCAGAGAAAATTGCATCTTTGAAAAATGTGGGAAGCTAGAAGAGTACCAGAAAACAAAATACCTTGAGCAGATCCACAACACTGTCCTAAGAACCCAAATTTATTATTTTTTCAGTACCCCAACTTTCCACTGAGCAAGTGGGAGGTTTTATTTGAGAATAAATTTTAGACATATAATCATCCATAAGTGATGGCTTATTTAAGCCACATTAGGAAATCTTTGAAATATGCTGCAAATTCGAAACCATAATAAAGAGAAATGGCTGCTTAAAAGGCAAAACAAGTCTTATATTTCCATCGTGAGCAGTTAGATTTGATTCCTTTTCCATTAAGAAGTTGACTGCTAAGCCTTCATGAAGAGAAATAAAAAATAAAAAAATATAGCTAAGATTACAAAGTCTTCGCAATGAAGCTGATATCTAACAGATGTCTATGCACCAGTAGTGGACTTGTTGATTAATCTAATCGTACCTTTTTGGAGTATGCCTTGTCAAAGGCACTTGAATAATTCGATTGGTTGAGGTCAAGTTTGGCATGGTTGTCAAAGTAACAAAGAAAATCACAATGTGGTTAGGTTTCTTCCCCTCCATACTCTCCTAATTTAAAAGTGTGGGAAAAATTTTCACCACCTAATCCTACCCCATACGTTGTGTATTACTTAAAGATTCTTATGTCATAGCAATTATGTTCATTTAAATAAGATTTTTAAAGTCTAACCTCTAAACTAAGCTTGTTAGACCCCTGCTGTTGTTTTTTTTTTTTTTTTTTTTTTTTTTTTACTTTATACTAAAAATATTCTCAACCAGTGAAAGGCTAATTTTTTTTGAAGTGTAGAGATAATGAAAGTGAGTTTTGCATCTCTCAACAAAATCCTCTCCTTAGGCCTAGTCAAGACATCGAACCCTAAGGTACATGCTTAAAAAATTCAGATATCTACCGACTAATGTGTTAGTAACCGTAGCTGGTGCTGTTTGATTGATGGATTATGGCATATACAAACATTGGCAATTATTGTATAAAAAAATAGTGATAACGCCTTGGAAGCGATGTCTGTCCTGCAAGTGGCAACATCAATGAAGAAAATGATGTAAAGAAGGTAGTTAGAACAATCATATTCATAATAAGCAGTCATTCTCATAGTTATGTACGTATTATACCAACATACATACAGATCCATGTGCTGTTGAGTAATTCGGTTTTTATATCGGGAAGTTTTTGTTGGAACTGAATAAATAAGAATACTTCTTCTAATTAAACAAAAATATTATAAAGACTGCATGGGGGAATGAACTATATATGAATTACTCTTTTTTTTAATTTGATAAGAAAATATAATTCTTTTTTATTGAGTTAATTTTATAGAAATAAAATGGTATTACTCAATTACAATTTCGTGTTCAAAGTAGAGATTAAACCTCAATCATTACTCAAGAAATAGAAGTTCTGAACTATTTGAGTTGTACTATTGGTTTATCTAAAAATGAATTTGAAAATAGAAAGCAAAATGTCACATAAACACAAATTACCGTGAATACTCTTAACTTCCTGGCTTCTCCCTCGTGCAGCACCTTAAGCCCAGATATGTCTATCCACAACCTCCAAATCCCTACCTACATCCAGTTGTGTCTCTTCTTCCTCTTCCCGCCCAGATCCAAGTCCCAAAAAAAATCTGTAATCTAAAATGTTTTGCTCTATAATTTTAAAACGCATACTGGAAACAGTTGCGGATCCAAAACATGTCTTTTAAATATATATAAGTAAAACAAATATATGTTGTGGAAGCAATTGTCACCATATAGCCTTGGATGTGCTTCTACCACCGACTTGAATTGATGTGAAAATCATTTTTTTACATTAATTCTAATTTAAATTGTCATTGTATATATCTTTTCGACTCGTGGATATATATATATATATATATATATATATATGCTTTACACCAAATATTTTAAAACTGATGTACAATAATTACGTCTAATTACATAAATATTATTGTGTCACTTTTTTATATTAGTTGCGTAAATTTTTACTTTAATTGTTACACAACCGATGTTGTAACACTTTTCATATCCTTCTGATATAGTCACGAATGATAACAAAAATACATTATTAAATGTTTTAAGATGTAAAAGTTAAAGAAAGTTATCAAGGATTACAATTCAACTACCATTATTAATCATAATTGTGACACCCTCTATTCCACATACCATAACATAAATAACAAAAATTGAATAACATAATTTTTTTTATAATTAAAATATCAAACATGTTTAAATAGAGGATATCACATCCATAACTTAAACAGTAACTTAATCAGCGGAAATTACAAAGAAATAATATAAGGTCTTACTAAATAATTTAATAAAAACATCTTAATCTAATCTTATCTACGCCCCAATGTCACATATCCTATTAGAGCAAATCCTAATATAGAAGTCCAAGCTTCATCACCAACATCCTCAACCTCATACTGATAATTACCTGTAAGACAGTCAAGGAAAAACAACACGAGAAAAGGGAATGAGAAACATCTCACTTCACGGTGTAGGAATATACACCAGATAGCCAAATACAGACAAAACATATATATAACATAGATAAATTAATAATAATATCACATTTCAATCATTCAAGACATATCAATTTTTCTATAACATTAAAATGCACATGTATATGGACACGGACTACATTTTATCATGCATGTGGCGCCAGTAACATATCACATGGCGTATTGCCCCTAGCAATCCACGAAGAGTAGTCTAGGAGTACATGCGGGGTCACACCTTCTGCGCACTCTCACTAGAAGGACATACTACCAGAGTCTCGTCGGGATAGCTAAGTCGCGCAAGATACATCTCATGCACACAATAGGTGAGACTGAGACTTACAAACTGAGCTATCTCCAAGGACTAATCTCCAAAGCTTTTACACTAGGGGGCCTTCTCTAGCGGTGTATTCCATATCGTACCCTAAAAAACATTTATGTATATGATGCATGTCAATCAAGACTCCATGCTTTTCTCATATCACATTTTCATGTCTCATTCCCATATCACATTATTATGTCTCATTCCCATATCACATTATCATGTCTCATTATCATCATGTCATCAACACATCACATCATCACATCTCATCATCACATTTCATCATCATGTTCTCATCATCATATTCACATCATCACATTCACATTATCACATTATCGCATCATATTCACCATTTTTATAGAGCATTTTAATTCATATCAAAACTCATCTATTTGCAAAATTAAATACATATTCATACATCTCATACAATAAAGAATATAACAGAACAATCAGAAGCTAAAACAGAAAATATTAAAAATATGCCTGTTTCTCATAAAGTTCCCACAGGAACTCACAAAACATTCTAATTCATATCAAAACTTGTTTATTTCAAAATTAGACACATATTTACACTCAACAAACATTAAGGAACACAACAGAAAACTCATGAGGTAAAGAAGAAAACATTTAAAATTTGCCTCTTACAATTACTAATGCATTCTCTTAGGGTTTCCCACGGGAACCCATAGAGATCTCAAATTACACATTTATATTTACATATAAATAAAGCAAATAGAAGAAACATATATAATTGAAAAAAATCCCTCATAAATAAGCATATAACAAACATAGGATTGGGGGCCAATCCCACTACCCAACATACATTTTCACACCCAAAGTGAGATTTCTCACTCCCCCCTTTATCTCGATAAGCAGGAGCTGAAACCAAAACAAGACCTTGCTAATCTCCTCCTCTGACTTCCCCTTGGTCTTCGAGAGTATAGAAGAAAAAAGGTCAAAAGTGAAAAAATGCATTTTTAGAGTGCTAGAGCATTCTATTTATAGGTAT